GCCGGCCTCTGGACGGCCGCTCTCGGTGGCTCTTGGCAGTTCACACCGGCTGTCAGCTGCTCACGCTGGCTGTCAGCCACACACGGTAGCTTATGGCAGCCCACTGCAGCAGGGGCTGCAGCCTACGCCGTCGCCGACGACTCACAGCAGCCCAGCTCCAGGTCGAGCTGTTGTTCACCATCTTAGCTTGTAGAGGGCACACAGTCACTGGCCTTCATGTGGGATCCGAATCGGGCCCTGCTGCTCAGAGCTGGCGTCCCAAGTCAGCTCTTAACCAACGTGCCACTTGGCCAGCCCCTCTTTGGACTTTTAAAGAGTTTTTTGGTTCTGAAGATATACACCGGTGCCAAAAATATATATACAAGTGGACACTCTGGTCAATGTTGCTCAATCAGTTCGCCATCATCAGAAGTGTCTGGACGCTGATGGGAACCACTTTGAGCACCTCTTGGAATTACAGACGTCAAATGTTGACTTGTATTCATCTTTTGTTATTGGTATATATTGAGTATTACAATTTTAATAGTTTTCCTTTCTTAAAAATGTGTAGGCGTTTTTTTGGCACCCTCTGTATTTTCATTCCTTAGGTAGGCAGTTAAAGAAGGATGTGAGAAAAAAATGAGTGAAAAGGCACTGAGGGTTGGCGTTTGCATTTGGTTGACTGTTTGGCACATAACCCAGAACCCAAACTAGCTGATAGCTGAGTCTCTGGGTCGAGTCCGGCATCCCTCTTCAGCCTCAGATGTTAGAAGCAGCATAGTTCTAAGCACGGGGGCCCTGGAATTAATCCATATGGACTTGAACTCTGGTTCAGCCTGTTAATATGCGGCATTAGGCGAGTTACTCAGGAATGGAAGCCTCAGCCTTCCCATCTGCAAAGAGGAGATGCTGTGTTGACTCCCAGGCAGGTATGAGGCTGGAAGGAGGCCATGGATATGAAACACTCGACTCAGAGGGTGCCCCCGTACCTGTCAACTATTGTTATTATAGAGCTTGGAATTCAGAATCAGAATCAGTGGGTTCGTCTCACTAAGGCACATGGATACAGCTGAGTCCTAGACGTAGCTTTGGCCAAATCCTGCACAGAGCCTCCATGTCAAGGGGTCTGTTAAGTGTGTCCCACTTTTAGGACTAAGGCCTCTGCTCTGTTCTCTGGGTCTGCTTCTCCCTTCTGCTGCACCTAAGTCTTAGGGGCTGGGGTGGGGTGGTGCATGATGCTACCAGCCATGGGATGGGACTGAAATTCAGTACCTCCTGTTTGTCTGAGGCATGTCCTTGTGGCACAGATTTCCTCAGATGCCACCACATGCCAGCTATGTGCCAGGCACTGTGCTAGTTGCTAGGACAGTGCAAAGAGAGATACATTATGGACCCAGCCCTCAAAGATTTTTCAAATCCAAATAGGGAGATGAGGGGTGTGAAACAGGGCCACGGACCCAGTTGATATTTATTGATCACCTACCAGGTGTACGACATTGATTCAGGCAAAGCCTAGAAGTCCAGCCGAGGGAGAACTGGTGGCGGCTTGGGCATACCCTTCTAATGCAGGGCCTGACCTCCAGAAATGCTGATGAAATGGACGGATGGAGTTGGTTGAATGGTTGGTTGTCAGGGAAGGTGTCACAGAGTAGAAGTCGCCGAGGAGCCTGTTGAATAGAATTTAGTCAGTGGAGAAGTTGGTGCAAAGTAAGATATGGTCCTCAGGTTCCTTTGAGAGGCTGTGATGCCATTAACCAAGCTGTATGGGAGGGTCCCTGTAGGGTCTGATGGGAAAATGCAGGTGGCTACATAGTCCAGAAAGACAAGCAGGTAAGCTGACGTCTGTTGTCTTTACACACGCACCCCTCTTGGCCTACTTTCTACCTGTGCTCTTTTGATAGAGACACAGCAGCCAAAAACCTACTTCTCTACTTTAGGAAAAACATCAGTGGAAGCACAGCTGATCCTCAGGCTGAGACAGGGGCTATTGGTAGTGGTGGTGGTGGGGGGGGGCGCACTAAGGTGATCTGGCGGACACAGCCACCCTTAGGGGAGCAGCCATTTCTCAGTTCACACCAACTGCTGAAGGCAAGAACATAGGCCAACTGGTTCCAGCTCTACTGACGTTTCAAAAGAAGCTGGAAAACTGGGCCTTTTAAATGAAATCTCCCAATGTAAAAACCAATATCAACTTGAATTTTCAGAAGACACTCTGTCAACCAGCTGAGACACATTTTCCAATTGTAGCTACTGGTCTGTAACCTCTATTGAGGGAACCAGAAACACCAGGTTAGAAAGATGGGCTAGCCACATTTCAAATGGCCTTAAATACCATGCAAAAGCATTTCTGACTTGAGCTTACCGACAGTTTTAGTGTTAAAGAATAAAGGGTTTTTGAAAGGGGAGTAGCTTGATGCCAGGGGAGTGGTTTGGTATTTGAAATACAGGGGGGAGGCAGTCAGGAGAGCAGAGTACTAAAGTAACAGGTTTGTGACATTGACGTTGAAATGTGGTGGCAGTGGGACTGCAAAGATGGGTTGGACCAAAAAAGATGAAAACTAAAAAGATAGTAAGGGGAGGATGAGGGAAGAGAACGAAGGGCAGGAGAAAAGGTAACGGAGGCTCCAATTTAACTGAGAATGAACCATCTCTGTTGCCAAAGAGAAAGGCCGTCCATGTTGGTGTTAGGCCAGCTGAATTGAGCGGAGTCAGCCTAACGGGCAAGTCGTCACCCCCACAAGTCGTCACCCCCACACTCCCACACGGAAGAGGTCGTGAGGCCAAGGGTCTAACCAGCGCCGTCAGTCCAGGCTCCTCTCCTGGCCGGCAGGCTTCTCGGACACTCCCGTTTATAACAGACTTTATAAGTAAATCGCCTATACCATGGGGATGCTGCCACCGACTTCTCAGGGCTGTTGTGGGGAATAAGGCAGCGGCGGAGGGGCCAGCACTGGGGAAGGGAGCGAGGGCTTTTTTACCCCAGGCTCTGGAAGGCTCCAGGTCTCCAGGAGGGTCCGGCAGTGGGCCTCGCTTGGCGGGGACCAGGCTGCCGGCCCCCCCTCCCCCCCGCCCGGGAGAACCGCCCGCCTCCTCGAGCCTTCCCCGATCAGTCGGGCGGCTAGAAGACCAGAAGGCACTGCGGCGGCCAAGTTCAAAGACGCCCTGTTCCGCATCCCCTGTGCACCCTGGGTCTGCGCGCGCGCCCGCCCTCCCGTCCCCAGCTCAGAGTCCTCCTTTCCTGGAACTCGGGGGTCCGGGGTGTCTCCAGAGGGAGTCCTGTCCCTTCCCCCGCCCTGCGCACGGGACGGGGACCCTCCGCGGGGAGACGCAGGGCAGGATGGGCGCCGCGAGCCGGGAACCGTTCGTGGAATTCCCGGAGTCCCCGCACGGGCCGGAAGCCTGCTCGCCTCCCGCCCACGACGGCGCCACTCTAGGAGGCCGGAGTGCCGGCGTCTCAGTGGGAATAACCCCTTCGGCCCCAGGAGCTCAGTCTAGAGCTGGAAGACTTGGTTCATGTTTCCCCTGAGCCGGGCTGAGTTTTCTCGGCGTCACTCTGAGGAACGATTTGATGAGTGGGGTGCCAATATCCAGTAGGCAGAGTCCCACCGCCTGGGTTTCCAGCCCAGCTGGGCTGAGATGCTGAGCGACCTGGGGCTGGTGAGTTAACCTCTCTGAGCCTCGGCTTTCAAGTCTGTAAAATCTCATCTACCTCAAAGGCTTGCTGTAAGGTTTCCATGAATGAATCCACGTAAAGCACTTAGAAGGGTGCCTGCCATATCATAAGTGCTCAATACGTGCTAGTTATTCTTTTTACTGCTACCCTTTTCTTAAAGGCCTCTTGGTAGAGGGTCAGTGTTGCGATAAGAAAACAAGGAACACCATAGAAATGATAGTAAGAGCTGCTATCTGTTGAAAGCCTTCTTTGTGCTTTCTTTACCTTATCTCTATGGCCATAGGGCAGTTTGGTGAAGGGAATATCTGTCATTCCCATTTTATGCAGAAACTGAGATTAATAACCAAGCATATGCCAGAGTCCAACGTGAACACAAGGCCTTCTGATTCCAGGGCGCGTGTCTTTTCTTCTCCTCCACACTGCATCTCTGATTTTGGACACTTTTTTTCTGGGAATTCCAAACTAAAGTTTCAAAACCCATGGTGATGTCACACACGGCTGTCTCGTTAGTTCAGAGCTGAGAAGTCTGTGCAAAATCACCTAATTCCTACAACAGGATAAAAATCAATAATGCATATTGCTGCCCAGGAATGAACACCAGCCTTGCTTAAGGAAAAGGATCTTGTGACCTTAAAAAACAGCAAGCTTGCAGACATCCAAAGAGAGAAAGTCACTGAATATAGGTTTTAAGGATAAAAATAAAACCACGTTTTTATGTGCAAAACCCATTACCATCCAACCCGACCTTTCACACAACCTGTGGAAACCTTGGAGGCCAATCCAACCAGCCATTTCTTCCTGCTCCCATCCTCAGGGCCCCTCTGGGCAGTTTCCACGTAGCTCCAACGTTTAGTGCTAAAGATATTTGGTCAGAGTTGTGGAGGCCTGGAGAACATAGCCAGGCTGTCCTATCTTCCTTTCATTTCATTCCCTAGACAGCTATGTAAGAGAGCAGCCCAGGAGAGTGTGGGCACAGGAGCATGAGTGAAAGGGCCAGGGATGGGAGGCCAAAAGCTGGACTTGGTGGGCATGGGCTTCCCGATCTCTGTGCCCTTGGCCATGCCACTCCCTCTGCCTAGTTTAAGCTTTGAGAGGGCAACAACGATGTCCATCTTGGGTTTTTTTTGCACCCTAATGCCTAAAAGGTGGGCTTTCCCAGGATCACTCCATTGAAAAAAAATTCAAACTGTGTGAAAAGATAAAAGTGAAAAGCAAGCCACGCTCCTGCCTCTGCCTGCCCATCCCATCATCATCTCTTGGGTGGGCACTGTGGCCAGTTTCTTGTGTGTCTATCTAGACAGTCTCTGCATGGCCAGCATCACATTGTAGAAAAGCACAGAATGATAGTGTGCTGAGGTTCCTTCCTTGCTTACCTCTTGCCTTTTCCACATAACAACGTATTTTGGAGAATGTTTCAGGTAGGTTTGCACATGTCTGCTTCATTTATTGTCACAGCTGCTGAGTATTCCATGACATGGATACGCCAGAATTTATTTAATAATTTATTTAGGGCTGGCTGACTGGTGCATTGGTTAAGAGTTGGCTTGGGACGCCAGCTTTGAGCAGCAGGACCTGGGCTTCGATCCCACATGAGGGCCAGTGATGCTGCGCCCTCTACAGCTATGATGGTGAACAACAGCTCCACCTAGGCTGCCGTGAGTCGCTGGCAATGGCGTAGGCTTCAGTGGGGCTGGCTGGCAGCTGGCGTGCGCTTTCGTGAGCTGCCGTGAGCTGCCGTGAGTGGCAATCCAATGGCCAGCAAGCGACTGCCTCACCCGGGAAGAGCGCAATGATAATACCAACATGGGCCAGTGAAGTGACATCCTCCACAACTAGACGGAAGAACAGAAGGGCAGAAACTTGTTTGTTCCCCTTCTCCAATTCCCCAGCGCTGTTCCCTCCCACAATTCCCCAATAAAATCTTTTTAAAAAATGAGAATACCAATAAAAAAAAATTATTTAGACCTGTTGATGGACATGTCGGTTAATTTCAGTCTTTTGCTACAGAAAGGACATTTCAATGGGCAGCTTTGTGTGCATGTTCTACCCCTGGCCTGCAGGATCTGGCAATGGAATTGTTGGGTCCAAAAGGTGTGAGAATTGGGCGTCCGGTTAGCTCAGTTGGTCAGAGCGCAGTGCTCATAACACCAAGGTTGCCGATTCAGTTCCCACATGGGCAGCTGAGCTGTGCCCTCCACAACTAGGTTGAAACAACTACTTGATTTGGAGCTGATGGGTCCTGGAAAAACACACTGTTCCTCAATTAAAAAAAAAAAGTGTAAGCATCCTGAATTTTAATCAGTGTAGCCAAATTGTCCTTCTTCTAAAGAGACACTCATGAATCATGCAGGGGAGTGCCTGTTTCTCTACAGAGCATATGACCAACTTTTTATATTTGGTAACCTCTTAGGTTAAAAATTATATTTCATGGTTATTTTTATTAGCATTACATGATTTGTTTTATTACAAACACTGGTAAGAGGACATGGAAACCTAACATTGAAGGTGTGAATTTTTTTTTTAAAGATTTTATTGGGAAATTGGGGGAGGGAACAGCGTTGGGGAATTGGGGAAGGGGAACAGACAAGTTGTCCTTTTGTTCTTCAGTCTAGTTGTGGAGGACGTCACTTCACTGGCCCATGTTGGTATTATCATTGTGCTCTTCTTCCCAGGTGAGGCAGTCGCTCACCGGCCACTGGACGGCTGCTCATGGTGGCTCACGGTAGCTCACGAAAGCTCATGCCTGCTGCCGGCCAGCCCCACTGCAGCCTACGCCGTTGCCGGTGCTTCATGGCAGCCCAGCTCCAGGTCGAGTTGTTGTTCACCATCTTAGCTGTAGAGGGCACAGTGTCACTGTCCCTCATGTGGGATCCGAACCGGGGCCCTGCTGCTCAGAGCTGGTGTCCCAAGCCAACCCCCAACCAACGCGCCACTCGGCCAGCCTTGGAGGTGTGAAATTTTAAGAAAGCATTGTGCTGCTTTGAATTAGCCATGTCTTCTGATCTACCTTGGACAAATAAAATGAGAACATTTGAATATTATCAATAATACGGTAATGATTACCACATTTTCCCATGTATAAGACGCACCCTTTAAAAAAAATTTGGGGTCTCAAAACTGGGTGCATCTTATGCAGTGGTTGTAGATTATTGTCAAGTCATTTAAGAAGTGTGGCATTTCAAATGCTATAGATGGAACTGAGGACGAGGCAATATATGAAGACAGTGATTCATCATCAGACACAGATGAGGACAATCTCATTGTTGGAAGTTTTGACAATGATGAGGAGTTGTATGAATTTTATGATGAATAAAACTTGATTTGAATAACTTGACGTAATACATTTTTTCAAATTCCAGGCTCCAAAATTAAGGTGCGTCTTATACATGGGAACATCTTATACATGGGGAAATACAGTATGTCTAGTATCAGGTGGGTCCTAAACTAGTCAGGAGGATCCCTTTGTAAATTATATAAATGTCTAACCACAATGCTGTACACCTGAAATTAATATCAAATAATATTGACTGTCAAAAAAAAAAAAACCTGGAAAAAAAATAAAATAAAATAAGAAAATTAGCCAGTGAGAGTTCCAAGCCACCTGACTCCTTGGAGAAGAAATATGAAAGACTGAGACAGACAAATGACACCCCAATTATATTTAAAAAGGGGGAAAGTATTAATAATACAGGAAACTTGATGTTTAACTCAATTGGAGTTCTAAAGCAGACCATCAAATGGATGATTTGTGAATAGGATGGCATGGTGCAGGGAAGAGCGAGGGCCTCATGCTCTATAGGATTGCATTAAATTGCAGCTTTTATAGCAGGGTGACGTTGGGCAAGATACTTTCTACACCTTGAACTTCTATTTCTTCAGCATAAAATATAGGCAGTCATAGCCAGCTGCCAGAGCTATGGCAAAAACCAACTCACGTAAAATTCTTGGCACAAAAGATGTTCGTTAAAATGGAAGGAAGAAGGTCAAATCCAAGCCCTCTGGGGCTATAGGCCCTAGTCCTCTGGGAAAAGGGAAGGAGGCTGGACAGATGACTTGGTGAGTGAACGGCTGGAATAAGTGCAGCTTGATTGCTCTTGTAGAAGGCAGGCTTACTCCTGATCGAGTGGTCAGGTCTCAAAGGTGAAAAACCAGACAAACAACCAAACCTCCAGATACTATTCCCATTTATGTGGGAAACAAAACCATCTTCTTTCCAGCTGGGTATTTCTAAGGCCACCAAGTTACATTCTTTGTGAGTGGCCCCTGGAGCTGGCAAGGAGGAGAAACTGTCTATCTATC